TAAGATACTGCTAAAGTAAGAAGTTGAGCTTGCTTGTAAGAGAAAATATTACATTCGGAGTTCGGAGGCGAGCTACTTCCGGATAATAAACGTGATACGACGGAGTTCCCAGCTTCCGCTCCGTCCCATTGTATCATGTCCATTATCCAGGCACAGCTCTCCGTCCCTCTTGACACATTATTTTGTATCCTTATAAACACATGCAAGCACATTAACCCCTTCTCCTGCTAACACTACTGAGATGGGTGCTTCTTCCCTGTCACTATCAACTGCAGCGATTATTAATTGCTCAACGTCTATGCATAATAATATATAAGATGAAAGTAAGTAACGATGTATATTTTATTATATATTATTATATACAAAATATTAAATATTTTATACATAATAATACATAAAAAAATATATTTCTTTTTTACTCTCTCATCTACCTAGTTTGCCTGCCTTGGTAATTTTTCTCCTCCTCCCTGCACTGTGAAACACTGTGATTCCCTTCAAAGCCATGGATATCTTCATCAAGCTTGGTCTCCCCACTCCTAAATTCATCTTCCCAGCAGACAACTTCAATGCCTGCAAGCAACAAAGCTGCCCTGATAACCCTTCTTCTGCATCTTCTTCTTCTTCTTCTTCTTCTTCTTCCTCTACGCATCTTCTTCTTCTTCTTCTTCCTCTTCCACTTTTTCCTTCACAGCTTTCTTTGTAACCTTCTCCTTCCTCTGCTTCTCAGTCTTATCAGAATCAGCCTCATAAGCCTCCCAGAGCAAATCCATGTCCTCAGCACCTTCAACGGCCTTCCTCTCTTCGCAGAGCTTGTAGGTCATCCTCTCCTCGAAGAGCTTGCAAGCCAGAGTCCTCTTCCATTCCTTCTCCTTCCTCATTGAGCCATCTCTTTGAAGGATCTCTGATTGTCTGCGACTGTGTTCTTTTCGGCTTGGAAGAATGGCTTTGGTGTTGTTTTCTTCATCTTTATGAGGTCTGTGCTCCAAACAATTCGTCTTCTCTGTTTTCTCACTCAAATTCTCTGCTATTTCATCGTTAGATTTGGTATCTTCTAAAAGGATGTAGTTTTGAAAAGAACTAACGAGCTGAGTGTTTTGGTTGCCTGAATTACAGTCATTGTCTGGCTCCATTTGGTAGGAACAGTACTGGGAATCAACGAAAAACAGAGAGCAGAGCTGCTCTACTAAGCTAAAGTTAGCTTCATCAGGAACAAGTTCAGCCCGAAGAAAGTTGAGGACTGCGCTGGAAGTGGTTACAGGGAATTCAGAGGAGGTTGGAGGAGAATCATGGAGATGAAAGGTGACTGTGGGAAGAGCGAGGAGGAGAAGGAAGGTGGAGAGGAGGAGGGGGTAGAGTAATAAGAGGAGTTTGAGGAGGTAAGGGAAGAGGAGAAGGAGATAAGCTAAGATGAGAGGGTGGGAGATCAAGAAAGAGCAAAGTAAGAGCAGGTCATGCAAGAGGAGGGATAGGAGAGAGGGAAAGCTGTCAGTGGAGCAGAGATTTTTCATACCTTCTTGACCAATGCAGCTGTCTCTTCTTGGGGATGGAGAAGAGTAGAAATTAAAGAGAGGATAAGCAGAAATTAAAGAGAGGATAAGCAGGAAGATGGGTGCAGGAAGCGAAGCAGGAGGTGAAGTGTTTCCACTCAAGTAATGGAGGGAGGGAGGGAGGGAGCGGAGAAATTTTTGGGGGAAAGTTTGGCGTGAATAAATGGAGAGGAGGGAGGGAGGGAGGGAGAGAGAGAGGAGAAATTTTTGGGGGAAAGTTTGGCGTGAATAA